TAAAATAATCAGCCCTCCATATCTGCAGGTTCTGTGTATGCTGATTCAACCAACTACAGATAGGCACACTCGGGGATCCTGGAATCAATCCCCCACAGATACCCAGGGATGACTTTACATTTGACTTGTAGAAAATCCCAACAACACAGAACAACATAAAATAAAGTATATTGTCCTTTCCAATACCCCCTACCTGCTCCCCCTACCTGCCCACACTATATGTGGCTGTGGTGGCTACTGATGACTTCCAATCCTTGTTTAATACTTTCCGGCAGACCAAGAAAGACAGGAAGTGCAAGGGACTACAGCAGGAATGGGGAATCTTGTATTAAAAGGATTTGCTCTGTAAAATTTGGATTAAATCCAAAGGCCGCACTTAAGAATCTAGAAGGCCGCAGGTTCCCCACACCTGGACTAGGGGAATAGGGGTGAGGTTGCATAGGGTGGTTGAAGATTAAAAAAACTGAAACTGAGGAAGTTTTAAGAATCTTGCTCAATGTCACACAGCTAGTAAAGTGGAGAGCATAATTGGGAAAATTATAAAATTAGAAGAAAAAAATACGTACCAAAAAAGGACTCTAGCACAGTGCAAGGGACATAACAGGTACTCACTCCAGGTATCATTGGGTCTGCACCCCCTCACACACACTTTTCCCAAGCACACACACAAATCAGTCTTCTTTACTTGCCTCTCTAGCCTCTTGGGCAATAATTTAAAATTAAAAATCAGTTTTCCCTACTTTTCAGAATCAGGCCATAAAAGCTCTGTAGGCACGTCACCACCCTAGTTCAAGCTTCCCACATACCTCTTCTGGATACACAATGGTGCCTCCAATCAGTTTCCTAACTCCATAGCTAAAATGCTCTTTTCAAACACAAGTACAATCCTTTTATCTTCCAACTTAAAACACTCTTTTATTACTTTAAGGAAGCAGTTCTCAAACCTTAATCTCAAAGCATGATCACCTTGAGGTCTTGGTAAAAGTTTGCTGGGGCCAGGCTGGGAATGGTGGCTCACACCTGTAATCCTAGCATTCTGGGAGGATCCCTTGAGGCCAGGAGCTCGAGACCAGTCTGAGCAAGAGCGAGATCTTATCTCTACAAAAAATAGAAAAATTAGCTGGCTTCTTGGCGTGCACCTATAGTTCCAGCTACTTGAGAGGCTGAGGCAGGAGGATCGCTCGAGCCCAAGAGTTTGAGGTTTCAGTGAGCTATGAAGATTCCACTATACTCTACCTGGGGTGACAGAGCAAGAAAAAAAACTAGGACTGCAAACTAGTACAAAACCTCTGTGCAGGCTGGGCGCGGTGCCTCACGCCTGTAATCCTAGTTCTCTGGGAGGCCAAGGCAGGCGGATTGTTTGAGCTCAGGAGTTCGAAACCAGCCTGAGCAAGAGCGAGACTCCGTCTCTACTAAAAATAGAAAGAAATTAATCGGACAACTAAAAATATATAGAAAAAATTAGCCGGGCGTGGTGGCGCATGCCTGTAGTCCCAGCTACCTGGGAGGCTGAGGCAGGAGGATCGCTTGAGCTCAGGAGTTTGAGGTTGCTGTGAGCTAGGCTGATGCCATGGCACTCTAGCCCAGGCAAGAGAGTGAAGACTCTGTCTCAAAAAAGAAAATGTATTGCTCTAGTAATTGCAAATAAAAACCCAATAACTTTCTGTATTAATTTTCTACATATGTTTCCTTTAAGAAAAACTAAGTCTTGCTGCTCCTGAGTGCAAGGGGCCTAGGGCTGGGGCCTTTCTCTACACAGGCAGGCTTCCCTCACTAGTGCTTGCTGGGATTTCCCAAGGGATCTCGGGCCCAGGGGCCTCTGCAGTAGCATCTTGGGGCAGACACCTTTCTGGGGTTCCTCTGAGATGCGGTGGGCTTCCCTTTGGAATGGGGTGAAGGTTTCCTAGACAAGGGTGGAGTTTCAGGAGAGAAGGGGTGATTTGGAGGCTAGGAGTTTGAAGGCTGCATCCTATCTGTAAGAGGGGTGCTTGGTGAGGGCTTGTCCTGGAGGGAGGGTATAGGAACCAAGCACTGGTTGGGATTATGGCTCTGGGGGGGAATAGGGGTGTGTCTTCAAGCCACATCTGGAGAAGCTGATGGGTTGGGGGCCAGCCCTGAGGTAGCTCAGGGACACTTGGGAGATTCGTCATAGAATACAGAATCTTAGAGACCTTGAGATGCATTTATGGGGTCAGAGAAACTCCCAAGGAGCAATTCTTTCTGAAGGTGTCAAGAATCTGGAGTCTTCTTCCTTGGAGATGATTTGGGGACCATCCAGCGTTTCTGAGAGGGACTCAGGGAGTTGGAGTAGAAGAAAACCCAAGATGAAGGAGTGACTGGTTTTCCTTTGGGATGGGATGGGAGGGTAGAGGTCTGGGTCTCAAGAAATGGGGGATTTCCAGGACTTGAAGTCTTGGAGATTTCCGGAATGGTCAAGGGGCTGGATCTTTTATTTTAAATCTCTTGGGTCTGAGGGGAAAGTTCTCTCAGAGCAAGGGTGAGAGGGTGCCTCTCTGAGGACTGAGTAGTCCCAGAAGAGCCTGAAAGGCAAGGTCTGGGCATTATTTCTAGATTCTGGAGGAGGTTGCTGTAGAAGCTAAGAATCCAGACTGGGGGAGTCTTGGAGGTGCTAGGCACAGGCATTTTCCCAATGAGGCTCTGGGTGGCTCAGAAGGGACTCTGGAGTCAGGTTTCGGGGGAGGGAGGGAAGGTTCAGGATGGAGGGAGGTGGCACCAAGGGGGTAGGGGGCCCCTGGGAGTGCACAAGGTCTGAATGAGGGGGCAAAAAAATAGAAAAAAGAAAAAAATTAAGACTTTATTAAAGGCATACGTGATTACTCAAAACATCTGTATTTTTCCCTTTGTGATCTAGATGGTTTATATTTCTTTTTCATACCTGATGGTACTGACTAGGACCTTCAATACAATGTCGAATAGAAGAAGTGAGAGCAGATACTTCTGTCTTCTTCCAGATCATACTTTAAAAGTAATATTTGACCTTGAAAATTCTTTTTTAAAAATATTTTTTATTTTTATTTCATTTTAGAGTCAGGGTCTTGCTATATTGCCCAAACTGATCTTGAATACTGGCCTCAAGCAATTGTCCTGCCTCAGCCTGCCAAGTAGCTGGGCTTACAGGCAAGAGACACCACACCTGGCTTCTTGTATTAACTAACTTTGGCGCCTCTCCATTTTTACATAAAAATACATTTGTTATTTGTTTTCTTTTTTTTTTTTTTTTTTGAGACAGGGCCTCACTCTGTTGCCCAGGCTGGAGTGCAGTAGCCTGATAATAGCTCACTACAGCCTCAAACTTTTGGCCTCAAGTGTGACTCCCAGGTAGCTGGGACTACAGGCATGTACCACTACACCGAGCTAATTTTTAAAATTTTGTGTAGAAATGGTCTCGCTATATTGCTCAGGCTGATCTCAAACTCCTGGCCTCAAGTAATTCTCCCATCTTGGCAGTACCTTTATTTTCTATTTAATATCGTCAATTCAATATTATCCAACTATTTCTCCACTGGTGAATGTTTCTTTAAGGTTGATAAGGAAAACCCCATCTATTACTTGATACATCAGCCACCTGAGACCCGCACCCCTCACAGAAGACCTGCATCAGCATAATACTAACCTATTACCTGGCCCATCAACTAATCTACTACCTGGCACATCAGCATAATACTAACCTATTACCTGACACATCAACTAACCTATTACCTGGCACATCAGCATAATACTAACCTATTACCTGACACATCAACTAACCTATTACCTGGCGGGCATTAGCCACCTGACACTCTACCCCTTGGACGACCCCAACTTAATAAAAGTGGGAAAAATCGGGTAGACAGGGCTCAGAATTTGGTGGCGAGCCCCTCTGAGCCCGCCGGTGAATAAACTTTGATTCTCCGACTCTCCGTGTGCTGCTCGGTTTGTCCTCGGAACCACCTGCTGTAACACTTGCTGTAACAAGGTCATGTCTAACTTTTGCAAGTAATGTATGATGATACTTTATGTATTTATACATTTAACAAAATAGTTCATAAAAGTGTGTAGAGCATAATGAAAAAGGCAACACCCATGTATTCATGACTGAATTTAATATAACATTAACATCATCTTTCAGTTCCATTTGTGCCTCTTCCCACCCCCAACCTCTTTACTTCCTGATCCTATCCACTTCCCCCCCACTATTCTTAGTTTGATATTCTGTTGTTTTTCTGAACCTTTTACCCTGTATACTTGTACCCCTAGACAATATGTTGTTTAGTTCCATGTATTTTTGAATCTTACATAAAGTTAATGACATTGAATTATTTCATATTGTATTTAAAATTTTTATTATTAATATTATTTTGAGATAGGGCCTTGCTGAGTCACCCAGGGCAGAGTGTAGTGGCATGGTCGTAGCTCACTGTGACCTCCAACTCCTGGGCTCCTGCCTCAGCCTCCTGA